TCCAGAAATGCTTTTGGACACTTTCGATCTCGGCACCATCCAAGAAAGTCAGAGGCGCAGCCTGAGCACGGATTACAACCGCGACCCTGGACAGACAGGATCCGCAAGCCAGTGAGGCCACTGCAAGTGAACTCCCGGCTTCGAAGCTACGTCAACAAACTTCAAGCGGGGAGGTGTTAGGCAAGAATCCCAGCGGATCCCACTATACGGTACGTCTTTAGGCACTGCTACGGCCGAGAAGCCTGGCCCGCTCGAGGTTGGCCTAGAATTCGGGACGCTTGCCGGTCCGGCATCAAGACAAGATCTGATTGGTCGACAATCTGGACCCAACAGCCAATCATGACCCAGTACTGGCCAAATGCTGGTTGCCAATGGCACATCCAGAACGCATCAGAAATTCCAGAAATTTATAGCCTCTTACGCTATATATACAAAGCGCTGTACAACTGTTCCTGACTTCGTTTTGGACGTTAATAGACCTTATGCACCTTTGGTGGTTGTTTTGACGTGAACGCTAGCTTGGGAGGCTCAGACCGAGAACTAAGCTGAGGAAAATACCGTTACTACAACCATAGAGGGGAAATATCCAACCAGTTCTTTCCACCTGAACTTTTCAGCTGCACGCAGCTCTAGAGACTCGATATGGACTCGACAATGCAAAAACCACGGCCATGTATGCCAGACATCTCCAAGGCCACATGATCAATACATATCTACCTTTCCCCAACCAACTTTCGTATGATTCAGTACTATCGATGGACCGACATTCATTCTGTGGTGGGGTTGCTTCTAATTGTATCCCTTCTAGGTGAATGGTCATCAATGGAACGTTCGCCATCCATTAAACCAACCTTGTGCTAATCGAAGTTGAGTGCTTTACCGCCTTTTGGTAACGTAGGCGCATTCCACATATTGTTTTGTCATTCAAACGGATGCACACGTGACTAAATCTGATCCCTCCATTTGGCAGTAGTTATGTTTTCCAGGACCCCGTCGAAAGGGGGACGCTGCATATCTTCCCTCCAGCCAGCGAATTAATCAAGCTGGATGACGAATCTCTCTGATTCCGCTTTTGTACCACGGTACCTTTTTCTGATGACCGGACGAACTCTGTTTCATCCGAGATTCTGTGTGAAGTTTTAATGTATGAACTGGTCTAAACTGGTCCTTCGTACGCTTTATGGAGCGTGTCATGATAATGGTTACAAAACGCATGCGTTTTTTAGCCAAGCCTTATCCTTTTGTGTGCCGACTGTTTTTTCCACACACTGCACTCTGTCCCTGAAAAATGCCGTTTTGCGTGGCCCCGTCAGGCCCCCACCAGCTTCCTTCAGAATGCAATGACTCTAGGTTAAACATAAACTTGTACGGTACATAAAACTATGTGAAAAATTTGAAAGTGCCCCCGACCGAAGAGCAACACGAATTTTATATTCAGTCAACAACGTCACTTGGAATTTGGATAAGGGTTCTTACTTGGTCGTGTTTGAAATGACCTAAACACGTGACGTGGCCAGAATGTATCGATAGTAGTGTACTATCGTACATCAGCTTATCCCATCTTTTATACGCGTTAACTTTGGTCTCCATTTTAATGGGGAACTCAGCCAACGAATAATGGTGTTTGCTTGTTTTTAAGCATGAACTATCAGTCAAATCGAAAACAGTTTACTAATGAAATGGGTTTGTTGCTAATCCTGTAAAGTGATGGCTATCTCCAACGTCCGTGAAATAGAACATTTCTCTCGTCTTAGAGGATGAACAGCCGTTTTGGAAATCAGAGTTTTATCCCCTCCATAGTTCACCGGAGTGATCAACTCACCTTCAAGATTCTACTGGAGGAAGGTGCACCCGCTTTCGGGGTTCCCTCAACGAGACACTGATGACGCTTTTGTATGACGTCCTTAAAAAGATTACATACGGGGAATTCAGCAGAGCTCCGGGCGAATCCCCTGTCAAAAGCAGACTGGTATGCAACTAAGTGTACTTGTCGAAATATGTTTGAGTTCAGTTCAATTAGAACATGGGGTTGACAGAAACTCGGAGAATGCGCCTACATGATGAGCCCCAAGATGAGCGAAACCGGTCATGGGCTGTCAAAGAGTTTCCAGCAACCCTGTGAGTAGTTTCCTTTATGAAAATATACTGCGATATCTCGAATATCGTGCCAACTGAATTATGAGGCAGCCTGTGTGCAGCACATTCAGTTGTAGAATATCATAAACGAGAGATTCAATTAAGTCTCCCGTGAAAACCAAATTGATTTGCAAATGAGTGTATTTCTTGAAAACAGTCCAATTTGGGTTCAAGTAGAACTTAAGGTTGACAGAAACTCGGAGAATGAGCCTACCTGAAGAGCCCCAGGAAGGGAGAAACCAGTCGTGGGCTTCCGAAGGGTTTTACGCAACCTAATTAGTAGTGAATCACGTCTATGCAAAGTATTCCAAAACAGACCTGATCAAAATGTCTTATCACTCGTCGGTCCTCAACAGTGAAGTTTCACTGAAGTCATTCCTTCCGAAAAAATCTATTCGAACGGGAATTACGACTTCATCCGAAACGGTCCACTATTCCCTTGAAAGTCCACCCTTGACCTTTCCACGGATCAGACACACTAATTTATCTAGGAAGCATTCTGCTTCAAGCACCTTGTTACAAACGCTTTACAGATAGGTCCGATGTAACTGGGCAACATTGTCTTTCAAAAGAAACCTCCCAGTAAGCCATCCAATCAGAACGAGTTTCTTCACAGGCATTTTATTTGATTGGTCGAACTATTATGAACTCTGCAGAGCTGTCATGGCAGAAAACCAATCACGTTAGTTGAGGAAGTATTGTTCAAGGTCACAATGGCACGGGAATGTTGGAAATTCTGAGAGCACTCAGTATGAGACAGTGAACGTTTGGTTTTCTACAAGAACTGTCACACTTGAGGCACTGTTCCAAACGCACGTAAGATTAACATTGGTTCATGAAGGGAAGTTGTTCTGGAGAGCGACACATGAAGCGCAGATAAACAGAGCAGTTACGGACGGCTCCTGCACACTTCCCGCCTGCCTACAAGGCAGGCAAACAGGATTGTTTAGGCGAGTCACGAAAAAGTCACAATAGAAAAACCAAGATAAAAAGTACAGAAATAAGCAACTGATGCTTTCGATTTTGTGTTACTGTGTCCACGGAATGCAGTTAGACTGACTCCACACAATAAGGCGTTGTGCAAGTGGCAGTCAGGAATGATAGGTAGCTGTTTGTTTGCCAATCCCGCCTTTATCACTGCACATCAGATTGGTCTGATGCAACGGATTAAGACATGTTGTGAGTTCCGTTCGTTGTGTGTGTAGAGTCAGGAACAGCCGGAAAGCAAGGCAGCAGCTTCGGCATACGCATACAGTGCACAGTATCGCATCAGCTGTTGGGATAGTTGACTGCCGGTATTTGTCAGGCCGCATTCTTTATTGTCTGTTTTGCTGTCAGTCGATGAGTAGTTGGTTTGCCGGTGTATGAATTGTTCACACATCCGGGTATAGTAGGACCATGATTCTGGTGAGTACGTGTCATACTGGTTTGTGATGACGTTCTTCATAGCTGGTGAACGCTCAGTGGGAGGTGACTTTACGTCATTTGGCGGAACTGAGAGCCAGTCAGGTAAGGGCAGTAAGGAAGGCGTGTCGTAAGGGAGGAACGCGTTTAATAGGGGTTCCGGAGGTATAACGCCTTCTTCAATATGACTGAAGAGCCGATCCATTGCAGTGGTTGATGGAACAGGTATACCACCGGTATTCGGTGCTGTGGTACTTTTGACAGTAGAAGCATGAAGATTCTCCAGTAGTCGCTCCCAAAATATTTTCGTTTGCAGTGAGGTGCGCGAATCGATCGAACTGAAAGGATTCATCTTCTCCACCGGTTCATGCATCCGCAAGCATAAGTTGTCGCCTGTCGAATTCCAGAAAAAAAATAGGGAAAACTGTAATAGTTGCATGTTTGTAAGGTGACATAACAGAGCGAATTTTAGCAACACTTTCAGACTTTATTGTATGATGAAAAATATGGACAAATTCGCTCTCGTGTTAGGATGTCTCCTCTTCAGTCAGAACTGACCCAACTGACAGCTGGCCGGAATTGAAAGACCCCCGACTTTGAGGCAAGCGAGCTTAGTCACTGAGGTGCCGCAAGTCCCGGGGTACGAACCCAACCCCGTCATCTTGACTGCTCCTGTCCAAAACTGGGCGACCTGGCAGTATCTCAGCAGTTACTCGAACATCTGAAGCCACTACTAAGTACTGTTAGCTAAACGTGAAAAAAACACGTATACTGCTCGGATCCATGATGGAAACTATGGGCGACACAGCTTTGGAGACAGTCATCTGAGTAAAGACGGGCAGTACATTGTACGGACATAATACATATATACATAAGGTTACTGAAAACTCCTCGGCAGCCCACGGCCGATCCCGCCCTTCTTGAGGCTCATCAGGTAGATGCAACCATCGATTTACCAAGTAGATATGTATTTGTCAAGTTCCGGGTAATTTGGGTTCAAGTAGAACATAAGGTTAACGGAAACTCGTGCACTGCACCTACCTGATGAATCTGAAACAGAAGGGTGAAACCGGTCGTAGGCTTTCAAAAAGTTTTCAGCAACCTTATGAGTAGCGTAATACGTCTGTATAATGTAATGCGATATCTAGAATATTGTATCAACATGAATTAGCCTGTTGCAGCACCCTCAGTTGAAGCGGATCAATAGCTTCAACAGGGTTATAGATGAGTCTCCCGTGACAACCAAATCGGTATGCCCATGGGCGTCAAAAAATGGGCACTGTTTGAGCAATGTTTGAGATCATATAATTCCCTGAAGAGATGGGGCCAGTTCGCTCACTCTTGGTGAAAAAGTTGACTCAAATACAGGTGTAACGGTGATACTACTGATGGGGGAGGCATGCGAGTAGTATGTTTTTTCGTAAATCCGCTTTTCGTTTCTTGAAAAGGGAGATCTCTTGCGGAATTCGTGGAGTCGCTCGGTACCATTTGCTTGGAGTTGAGAAACAGTCAATGAATATCCAGGAATGTTCAGAAAGACGCGTTCAAAGAGAAGATGGATATTAGGTTTTGTAAACAAGCTGCATATGAGAGTTTTGCTTCCCTGTCCACTAGTCTGTAACTGTTCAGTTGGTATTTTCCGATAAATAACTCCGCAGCGAAGGTCTTCTTCCTTCCACAGGTAGATAATCTGTGGAAACCAGGTACTCGTGGTGTTTTCGCGCTACTGGCATAAAGCTAAGTATAGAGAGACTAACATCATTTGGTCACCGACAGTTTGACCCAAAAATCGGCAATTCCGTCGTCTTGTGGAGATGCATAGCTCCTTTTCCACCCCCCCCCCACACTTGTCAACCCACTGACCATAAGG